GGATCTTCCCTTTTATCCCATGACAACTTACTTTACTTAAGAGCCTTTGGTGAGGGACCTTGTCAAAGGCTTTCTGGAAATCTAAGTACACTATGTCCACTGGATCCCCCTTGTCCACATGTTTGTTGACCCCTTCAAAGAACTCTAATAGATTAATAAGACACGATTTCCTTTTACAGAAACCATGTTGACTATTGCTCAACAGTTTATGTTTTTCTATGTGCCTGACAATTTTATTCTTAACTATTGTTTCGACTAATTTGCCTGGTACCAACGTTAGACTTACCGGTCTGTAATTGCCGGGATCACCTCTAGAGCCCTTTTTAAATATTGGCATTACATTAGCTAACTTCCAGTCATTAATGTCATCTTTGCAGTGTGGGCTAATAGTGCTTTTCACTATTACCAGCTGTCTCACTCAGCAACACATATCCTTTTCTCCTACACCAGCTCAAGACCCAGAATCCCTCTCGCATCCATAATAATTGCGAAGGCAATTTATAATTTCATGGAAGATATTCCAGAGAGCAATGAAAACAAAAGGTTTTGTGACTTTATCTCAAGAACCAGAACACTGAATCATTGGGAGTTTTGCCATTGAATTCAATGGGAATGAAAGCAGGCCCTCCTGAGTAAAGAATGGGATAACCATTTATGTCAACTCGAACACTGAAGGAACCCAACTGGCAAAATGAAACAAAATAACCAGAATCTGTCTCTCTTTAAATACAAAATGTGTGCTCTGATACCGCTCTACTACATATCCCCTCTGTTTGGTTTTCTGACTGAATGATGTCATTCAAACTTTAGGATCGAAGGGCCAGTCCTGCAAACCTTTACTCATATGAGTAGATTCACCGAAACCATGGGCAAGGATTAATTGAGTGAGAACGGGTTGCAAGTTCAAGCCTTAAGAGATAACAAAGCACATGCAAATGCAAGACAATACATAACAAAATATCACACAATACACTAGTGTCTGACCAATAACTGTTTTGTACTTGCAGCTTAAAAACCAAGAGGAATACACTTCTGTTGGTTCAACCAACAGAAGTAACAAATCTGTATTATAAGCCAAAACCTCTAAATAAAATCTGTGCATTTATTTTAAACATATTTATATTTTGCAAGTTACACAGTTGAAGTTTCTATTAAATAACTCTGATATGGGGCATATTTTTTAAAATGTCAGCAGTGATTTTTTTTATGTGGAAACAGATGTGCTATTTCACTGCAACTGCTGCATATTCTCTGTATTTTCTTTATACTGTGAAACATCCGTCTGTTATTTTGTTATAAATCTTTCCCCACTGGATAGATTTCTTCCTTGTAATTAAATACTAGATGAAGTCTTGAAATAGATGGTCTCCTGAAAAATCATGTTGTTTTTTGCCTAATTTTAAAATATTGGCATTTCAATTAATGTTCCTTTTCCATGGACCATTTCAATGCACTACCTAGCCTTGGACTGAAATCACAGCCATATGTTTTATGACATCAGAGGCATTTCAAGGTGTCTCCATAAATGTCATTTACTGCTTGGGAAACTGTCAAATCAGTGCAAAAATCCCTAGTTCTTCTGAGGGGAAAATACTTGAACAAAAATGTAGCTTTATACAGCTCCTTTATACTGAAAAGGCTGTCCCTTTGAAGAAATACAGGTCATGTTGACAGCAGAACCTCTGCCAACTAAACTGCTGACCTGATTCCTGGTTTGCACTTTGGATCAAAACTGCTTTCTTTAGCCTGTGTGACCAAACACCTTGTACTGTACATCTCATACTTCCTGTTGTTCAGATGTGAGGCATTTGACCCTTAGACAGAATAAACACATTCTTATAAACAAACTATGATATTCTTCAATTTCAGAATACTAATTTTGGTGGATTTAATTACAAATCTAAAGCTATCAAGTAACTCTTATGAGATACTCTGACATATGCTTTTAACCCTTAAAACATTGACATTCTTCAGCTGCCAGCCTAGGGCCCGATCCTGAAAAGAGCCAAACACCTCCCACGTGCATCTCCTTCCATGGCAGTCCACACCTCACAGAAAAAGGCCCCAAATGAACACCGCAGAGGGTTTATGTATGCATCTCTCTGCAGTTTCTCCTGCCTTAAAATACTGGGCAGATTAAATAATCCACACCATATATGTATCAGTAACATGCAATAATTATACACAACTTTGACCTGATGTGCAGTTGCAGATAAATACATTGTGTGCTGGACATTCTGCTGAAAATGAATGTCTAGTGTCACTGCTGTTGAATAAGTGAGTACAGATCATCTAAGAACTCTACCAGCCAATACAACTGCAGCTATTATAGGGCTTCTGCTGGCTGACAAATGTATCCATGAGCACCCATGTAAAAGACGAGCTGTTGTTTATTTTTTAACAAAAGTTTGTTTTAAAATAAAGAAATTGATTCATAGAGTGGTGAATATTATAGGACAGTCACATCAACAGGTGCTTCAAACATAGCAGTATGGTGCGGAAGATGTTGAGAAAGAAAATGAATAGACTGTCTAAATAATACATACATTTTGCAGTCTCTTTTTCCTATAGAACTCTAGTGAAGTTAATGTATAAACTGGAGATTGAATTATTTATAAGTTTTGAATATATGATAAATCATGTTTCACATTCCACACAGGTAAATGTATATTTCCAAGCAATGAAACGAAATAGGCACACAGCCTGAAAACACTGGGGTCTTACCTGGAATCTGGATACTTTGTCAAGGTAGCCAAGCTGCTGGTGTACATGTGTCCTCCTACATCGATGTGCACAGGAGCATTGGATTTGGTGAGTTGAGCTGGGAGAGGAATTCCTTGAGCAGCCAGGGGAGAAACTGGGGACCGTGTTAGAGACAGACGGGACATGCTTCTTCCCTCCTGGAAACGGAAGACAAAAAAGAACAGTTTCTCTTAAATGTAACTGTGTGTTACCTTTATTTCTAGTGTGATCACAGATCTAATCAGATCATTTTTGCATCTGCCTGATCACATATTCAGCTAACAAATTATTGCCACCACTGTAATTAAGTGTATTTGCATCATTTTCTTCAAAGTACCAGAGGGGAAGAGAAAGATGCTTATTAGCAATAAGAAATCAAGAAAAAAAATTTCAAGGTGTCAGCCTCAAGGGGCATAAAACAAACTGCAAAATTCTAATTAAAGGTCGCGGGCTTATGTGTTAGATGTGAAATATCCCCTGACAAACGAATAACCAATTTGTGAATTGGGATTCAGGGGTTTTTGCAAGTTTGTCTCAGTAACGAGACACCTCTAAATTAGTGATTTCCTCAGAACCTAAGGCATTTAGTTTATACATGTAGTAAATTTCACATCAAACTATGAAAAATAATAGATTTTATTTTTAATAATTACAAAATAAATTGATAACTATTGATTATATCTTAATAGTAGATATAATGAGGGACTAATAATCTTTCAAACTGAAGGAAATTAATAGCTGGACGCAACGACGGCAGAAATATATATAAAACGACCACAGTTTTCATGACACAAAGCTTTCACAAATGCCATATGATCTAGCATTAGAAATCAGAAATATACATATGAACATGTGTGTATTTATTACTTTAAAATATCTGAAATTAAATGGAATTGAGTCTAAATATTTTTAGCTGATTTACAAATTCATGCACTGAATTTCTGCTTCTGTTACCTAAAACAAATATTTAAAAGACTTTCAAAACCCTGTTTGATGTGGAAGGGACTGCTAGGGCAAAAATATATATATATCCAAAAACTCTTCAGGTACTATAAGAAAAGGATGATAACTGATTCTCTCCCAGATACCAACATGTGTCTTACATAACTGAGTTAAGTTAAATAAAAAATTATAGGTAACATACATGACAAATGGAAAAACTGCTCAAGCTTTCGGAAGTTCTATCAGACACCAATGTGTCTTACACAACTGAATAAAATCAAATAAAATAATAATGAAAACATATATGACAGATGGAAAAATTGTTCAAGCTTTTGGAAGTTTTATAAAATTCCCCATCCTTTCTGTCACATATGTGTAGAACAACATATGCAAAATATTATAGTTAAAAACATTTCTGAATAGAATCTAATTTTCCTGGTATTTTGTTTTGCAGTCATGCTACCAAACGTCTAGACTCTTCCTAACATCTGATAGACGCTTTATATGCAGTATTACAAAGTGAATGTCAAATTCTTCCAGGTTAGTTTGGTGACATTTCTAAGAATCCTAAAACTGGTCTCTCCTTTCTTTTAACAATAAATATTTTGCACAATATGCTTGCCCAAACCATTCAGTGAACATATAATTGACAAGATTCCTTAAAAACATGGATACCAAAATATATGGAAAGGGACTGAAAATATAATGTATCTCGACACCTTTAAAAGAAAACCAAACGACTAGTCTATTCATCTAGTTTAGTTCATAACAATTTTAAACTACTCCAGTACAGAAATACATCACCCCATTATGAATCCACATCCTTTTCTCTTCAAATGCAGAATGGACATCTGCACTGAATGCGAACAAAATAGCAACACTGTCCTAGAACTTCTGTGTCAGTCGATGTGAAATTGGCATTAACATTTTTACTGTAGCACCACCTTCAAGGAAAATGACTGAATCCTTTAATGACTAAAGTTGTTGCTTTCTTCTTTCCCACAAGGTCCTGTTGTGGGCAATCTTTAGGAAATATGTCATATCACAAATAAAACTACTAATTTTTTAAAACAATGTAGTACTTTAGCAGTCTGTTCTCTAGTTGTGGATGCTATATCTGTCTACCAACACAGACAAGGATGTGTTCCTACCAAAGAGCACTGCAAGCTCATGTTCATTCTGTACTCCTTCACTTAAATGTAAGGGTCAGTAGCTACAAGCTGAATGTCAACTCTAGCTTTGTTCTAACCCTAACTATTATCACTAATGATAAAGGTACAGACCTTGCAGGATACAGACCTGCCTTGGAAATACACCTCATGGAGTTTTACAAAAAATATGCCTAATTAGGGCTCATCTGGACCCCTACAATTTCTAAATGAAATCAAAGAACTTGTAGTTCTCTTTAAATAAGTCTTACATTTAACCGTTTGTCTTGAAATACAGACTCCAATTTTAAAATATGCACAGAAAGCTAAAGATCAAGTGATCTGAATCTATTTGTGCATATTTAAACACTGCTACTGTCTTACGATTTTGTTTAATGTTAGTACATCAGCAAATGCCTTGATCTGCAAACTGTCTGAGACTCTCTGTGAGGCCATGCCCATACAGTAGAGATATTTAATTTATACTATTCACTGGAGGGACTTTTTGAACAATCCTCTGCTTTTGGCATCACTCAGCTACAGTATGCATTGAAAAAACACTTAATTATAGAAAATCACTGGAAAACTAAAATAGTTCACAATTTTATATGGATTTTCATACTTATTGAGGGGTTTCGGGCTTTTATTTTGGGGGACGGAATGAGAAGGAGAACTGAAATACAGGTTTGTTTAGTTAGAGAAGATTAATATTATAAAATAACCCAAATGTTTAATAAAGTTGCGATAGCCAATGATTTTTGTATTAGTTAATCTACAAAGACCATAGGTCTTAAACACTACCTAAACCGTGTAAAAAGCACTTCCATTAATCCTAAAAATAAATATTCCTGATTCCTTAATCCTAGTTTTTATTAACTCTCTTCTTACATGTATTTCTCAATATAAACTGCTGCTAAAATTCACCATATCAAGTAATATATTTATTTTATCCACAGAGCTGGATCTTAAAAGTATTTATCCTGTGGAATTCTGTGTTTTCTAATACTGATGTGAAAATTAAAATCTTAAGGGTAAATACTGAAGAAACATTAACAAATTCCATTTTTAAACCATGTAAAATAATCCATGTTCTTTAGTTGCCTACAACAGGGTATAACATCACTACTAGTGGCACAAGCAATAACCCTGCTCTAATAAGTAACACAGGAAGCTGCTAACGGCAAAATCAATAGAGCCTGATTCCCAAATTATCTGAATATTTAGTTTTCCAAACATTACACACCAAGATTTTTCAGAGCCAGCTTATCTTTTTCTGCCTTTCTAAGCTAACTGCATAAGTACTGCTTGTAAAAACTATTTGCCCATGCAAAGTGAAATAATCACAATGCCATGCTCATTTACACACAAAATGATTTTGTGTCCCATTGTGCTCACAGTTGTTCAGCTCTCTAGGGGTGATTAAACTAGCTATGCTGCTACAGCTTGAGATGATTTCACTGAATCGTTTCTCCATGAAGTTGCTTCTTTGCTAAGCTGTTATTTTAACCATAAAAGGTAAACAGAAGGCAGCTGTAAGAGCTCCATTCAGCTCCATGCCCAGGGCTATCACCCTAGGGCCGAGAATGCTGAAAGACTGCAGAATTTTCCAGGGTGTTGCCTTTCTTCCTCTGAAGCCTACAGGAATACTGTTCATTTAATACACACTCTAGATGATACATTTCAGATCCTACTAACAGAAAGACTTCAAAAGTGTAAGAACTTTTGGGCGAATGAAGCTTCCCCACCTCTGCACATAGCTTGAGGCCATGGTAACCAATACTGCTGTTGATGTTGGGAAAATACAGTAGAAATAAACTGCACAGAGCAAGGCAGAGAGATAGGGACAAGGGAGGTGAAAGGTTGCAGAAGAGAAACAAGAAACAGTCTGGAAGGGATAACAAGAAAAAAAGGAGAAAGAATTAAAAAGAAAGCAGCTCTGAAGGAGGGACAAAGTTAAATCAAGGAACAGACACTTAAAAGACTACAGATGGGAACCAAGACTAATTAAGGATGTAAAAGTGCTTTGTTTCTAAAGTTTATTGTTGCCAGGATAAAAATTAATTGAAACTAATGCTGTTATTCACTCGTGCAGTTTAATTCCTTCATGCACATTTAAGACATGAAATGAAAACTGCAGGTTTAAGGACTTGCCATGAAACAGCTCTCTCTATAAGATGTTGAAAGGGGGCATCTTTCAACCCATATGCAGCCAGCTAGCTGTGTGTGCATCAAAGGCACAAAGTCCAGTCTGCTGCAGGACCACTGACTCGTCTTTAATGAGATCAGCACCAACATCTGTTCTCTGACTGGTTCCTTTATTGGATTCTCGTTGAAGCTTTTTCCCCCCCAGAGACCTTTCTTTCTTTAACAGCAGATCTATTATAGCACTAAAAGTAAAACCACCGTTTCAGCCCCCCGACACCCCATTTCAAGCACTTTGGAGAATAACCAGCTAAAGAACTTAACCTTGCACTCTCGTGGCTTCATGGCACTGTCTGTATTTCCAGGGAGGTAGGATTCAGCCCAGCCAGAGGGTCAAAATTAAAGAGACTTGGCATTACCTTTGTCTCTATAAACACGTAAACATGATAATATCCAGAATCTGCCTCTTAGGCGACTTTGAGCCGATTGTTTATTTTGTGAAATCAACCTAAGACAAAGAAGTGATCAGGTTATTTTAAAACCTTGGGCAATGGGTTACAAAATAAAGTCCATAAAACATTTGCACACACCTTAACACTGCTTCAGAAAACCCTGGACATTTGCTAGCAAGTGGATTAAGTCAGAAACTTTTTGGGAGCAGTTAGCTTGTTGAGCTCTCGTTTAAAAAAAATCTTTTCCCCACTCTCCTCCCCCCATTCCTAGCACTCTCCAATCTATTTAGTGTAAGTTTCACGTCACCCAAATGCCTTTCCCTGCTGATGGTCAGGGAAATCACCAGTAAGCCATGCACACCGGCCACTAAACTTCTGGCTTTTTTGTTAGAAATATATACAGCAATGCCCAAAGGTAAAATTCAAAAAAAAAAAAAAAAAGGACACAACATGGCGTCCCTTACTTATTCTCGCATAACAAGAAAAGAGATGCCTTAGATGAATGCAAGGGGGGAAATCTGCACCTCCGATCCTATATATTTTATGTGCAGCCAATGGTGGTGAACATTGGCCAGACTAATGTATTAATTTTGCAGAAGTGTGCCACATTACATGTAGGAACAGAAATGCAAACTATAGCCTAGAGTGGTTTGAAGTCTACACCAAATCAAACCTTCCACTCTGACTGGCGCCAGAGTTTCATTCACAGACCGCCCGTGTTTTCCATATTAAGCTTTGTCATCTGCCTTCCCCCTTTGTGTTTAGACACCCTAGAGACAACCCCAAAGGACGGACCCACAAAGTCCCCACCAGAACCAAGAGGATCTCCCCTGAAAGCAAAAGGGGGAACCAAACCACAAACCATCAACAACCCCCCGCACCCCCCACAAACAAACATCCCCCCTCCCTTCACAAACAGTGCAAGGAAAAACAACCCCCCAAACCCCAGATTCCCCCTCCCAGCCCTACAACGCGGTGGCAGCGGCTGCTGCCTATTGCAGCTGCCCGTTTGGAAAGTGCAATTGTTGCCAGTGCTCCGTGTGTACCATTCAAAAGCCCGGGACCCAATTAGCTCTGCCTCCTCCGCGCTGCGGCTTTGCCCCCGGATCCTTTGCCTTCTTCAGTGCTGGGGCTAGGGCGGCAGCAGCAGCCTAGGAACCCCGAGCATCGGGGCGCCAGCAACCCTGGCCATGCTTTAGAAAAAGGAAACAAACCATACACACATGCATGCACACACACACACACACACAGAGAGCACCAGCGCTATCAAAGGAGGGTGGATGAAAATGGATCCTGTAGCTTTAAAAAAAACCCTCTGTCTCTTCTCCAGAGCCAAGATCTGAGTTAGTTTCAAGAAGAGGCACTTTCCAAAACAAAAAAAAAAAAAAAGACCATGCAATGCAATGCGCACTCCCCAGTCCATGCAGGGAGAGAGACAGGAGCGGCAGTCAGAGCAGCTTTCCTTACCTTGAACACAGAAGAGAGATCTGCAAACCCCCCTTTTGCTTTGGGCTCTGTTGGGTTTGTGTGTTGATGGGTTTGTTTTTTGCTTTTATTACTATCTTTGTTCCTTAGATCCTGCTGTGATTATTATTATTTTTAAAGCTGCTTCTTCTCTCTCTCCCTCTCTCTTTTTTAATGCTTCTTCGGTTTATTTTGTGTGTGTGTGTGTGTGGGGAGAGGGGAAAAAACCCCTTAAAATGAAACTGCCGAGGCTGTTATGAGAAGAAAGGCAATAATCCCGTCTCTAAATAACAGAGGGAAGGGAGAAGAGGAGGAAAAAAGGCGAATTCTTGCTCAGGGCTTTGCAAACGCCTCCAGGGCAGAGGATTAGGCTACAATTAGCTCAGCCCTTTGCTCTCGCCCTAGCTAATTTTGCGATGAAAATTGGATATTTTTCCCTCCTTTTGCTGGAGATCTCCAGATTAAAAAAATACCTTTACAGATAAAATTAATAATAATAATAATACAAAATCAGATGGCAAACCCCAACCCCCCTTCTCCTGCTTCCCACCCCCCTCCCCAAACTAACCCCCCTCTCTCCTTGGCTGCAGAATCCTTTTGCTAACGGTTTGGGTTGCCAGCTCCTCTCCTTCCTTGGCTGGGGGGATAACGGTTTAATGTTGTGGAATATCAGGCCACTGTCACGTCCTTCAATAGACTTACTGAAAAGAAGAAGGAGGAAGGGGGGAAAAGCTGATTTTAATCATTGTCATTTGGTCTGATGTAATATTTCCCCAGGCATTTTCAACTAGGCATAAATTTTCAGCTCCCAAATAAGTAACACAGGGCACGTTTCTCACATCTCTTGACTCCTCTGTTACAATTAGGGTAGCACCCACTCTGCACTTGTTGATAAACTAGATCAAGTTAACCACACACACACACACACACAAAAACCTACAGCAATCAAAATGCAGATCGGGGGTATTTTGGGGGAGAGGGGTTTGCAATTATTCCCTTCCCCCCTCCCCTCCGTTTCCCCTCCCCTCGCTCCCTTTTCACCCTTTGCTAATGTCTCGCATTGTAAACGCCAAATTTCCTGTAGGCCATTAAAACCAAATGACGTCTATCGACATGCATTGTGCTATTGCAGAAAGCGCCCTGGCAGGCCGCCCCTGGCCAAAAGCGCCATTTCAATTATAGCGCACGGCTAGATGGAGATGTCTGCCATGAAGATTTCCCAGGCAGACAGGCAGCTCCACAGGCGCTCCGCTGGCTTGGCCACAACAGCAGCCGCTGCTGCTGCTTCCCGTCGCTGTGCCTCCCCCTTTGGAACCTCACACCCAGCCCCCTCCCGCCAACCAGCAGAGCCAAATCCTCCATAAACTTTTAACAAAAGCAGATTGATTTGGTTCCCTGCGTTTATTTATTTTTTTTTGCAGCTAACTCAATCTGGGATATTGATCTCGAGGGAAACCTGCATTCTCCCCCTCCCCCCACCCATACGCCCCCCCCCCCCCCCCCCCCCCC